GACAGAGCATGAACGGGGGAGGGGCAGAGAGAGAGGGAGACACAGAATCGGAAACAGGCTCCAGGCTCCGAGCCATCAGCCCAGAGCCTGACGCGGGGCTCGAACTCACGGACCGCGAGATCGTGACCTGGCTGAAGTCGGACGCTTAACCGACTGCGCCACCCAGGCGCCCCTTTATTTATTTATTTTGAGAGAGAGTGTGAGTGGGGCAGAGAGAGGGAGAGGGAGAATCCCAATCAGGCTCTGTGCTGTCAATGTAGGGCTTGGTCCCTCGAACCGTGAGATCTTGACCTGAGCCAAGATCAGTAGTCTCATGCTTAACAGAGCGAGCCACCCAGGTGCCCCATGCACTCTTCATTTTTTTACTTTAATAACTGCACAAATGGGGCACCTGGGTGGCTCAGTTTGTTGGGCATCTGACCTCGACTCAGGTCATGATCTTGCATCCGTGAGTTCTAGCCCTGTGTCAGGCTCTGTGCTTGTCAGCTCAGAGCCTGGGGAGCCTGCTTCAGTTTCTGGGTCTCCGTCTCTCTCTGTCCCTCCTCCGCTCACACTCCGTCTCACTCTCTCTCAAAAAATGAACAAACATTAAAAAAAAAAATAACTGCACAAATTCCATGAAGTTTTGTTCCTTGGAATATCTTCAGTACCTGGTATACTTCCTTGCATAGCACACACTTTGTTGGTATAGATTGAAATAGAATTCATGCTTTCAGTAGTTTTGTGATGGAGTTGGTAGTTTTGCATCCATTTTACAGTTGAAAAAACTGAGGCATAAGGGAGTTGAAACTTACAAAAAAGTCCAGCCTAGTAAGTGATATAGAGTAGGTCCCAGGTCTCAAATCTAGGCTAATGACTATGGATCTCCGCCTCCTGCTTATATAGGTTTGACATTGTAAGCTTTTAACAAAATGTATGGTCAATGAGTCATTTTTGTTGAGAAAGCCTTTAGGAGTTGGGAGCTACTTCCTGATGATGTAATGTAATGTTTGAGTCTGTGAGGTCTTCAGGGTGGGGGAGTTCTAATTTTTAAGCCCTTAATAATGTTATGAGTAAAACAAGTATTGGCAAACCGGATGGGCCTGTAATCTGTCTTCGCAGAGAGGTTTTTGCCTTAAGCTAAGAGTGCTAAGAAAATAGAAAAGCACTTAACTTCTTTATGGTGAATCCTAATTCATAGTAGTTGCGACTGGACAACAAATTCTTACAGCTCAGAGCTTCATTGTGTGAGGAGAGCATTTATATCGCTTCTCAGCCTTCTGGCTAAGATCAAGTATAGTAAGGAGAGCATTTAGTGAAAACTTAGGCCGGGGACACAGGCTCTCAGAAGCCCCTGAATTCACCCTGAGAAATATCAAATTTGGAACTCATTTTTTGGCTAAGGGCACAGTGATCTTAATTTGTAGGTGATATATTCTTATGAAAATTTCAAGTGGTTGGAAGACTCCAAGCCACCAGTCTGACCTCTGCCCCGTGGTACACTGTATCCCCCACTAGTGGTGCGGGAGGGCCTTCTGTCTCTGGAGAATTTCTACACGATTCTTTTTTACTTTCTCCTCTTTGCAGCTTTGCAAAGTTTATGCCAGCGTCCCTGAGCCATTAGTTAATATGTCTGGAATATATTGTGTTAGCCGCTCTAAAGGCTTATGGTGATGTGTGAGGATGGGGGTTGCAGAGTGGCAAATGAATACAGATGAGTTAAAGTGAGTTCTGTATGGCTCTTTGTGGCTCACAGTTCTGTGTGCGGTGGTTAGTGACTAAGCACTCTGTTAAGAGAACAGTCACTACTGGTGCCAGAGGGAAGGCTTTAAAAGGTGGTGGGTTTGAGCTACCACTCTGAGGCTGCAAAATGTATTACTTAGCAGCCAAGTGGAAGTTGCAGAGGAAGGCTGTGTTTGCATATTAGGACGCATCAAAGTGATTTGAGGATAGAATTGAATATGCTCAGATGAGAGACTCCTACACATAGTCGCAGAAGAGACTTTCCGTTTTAAACTATCGTTCCTCTTCAACCTGTGCTTAATTAACAGCTGGTTCTGTGAATGCTAATTCCTAAGCAGTGCAGGAAGGCTCCTTTTTGAGAAATTCGAGTTTGTTTACTTTAAATTTCAGGATAGAAAATGTGTAGGCTTCAGTAGAAGGTTACAGAAACTGTTTAATGCTAAGTACTTGGTGTATACTTCTTGATTTTTTTCCTGTAAGTTTAACAGAATAATGAAAGAATTACATTCATGTTGACTAAGCAACTTATATCATTGTTTTTCTCTTTCCTTAGAGCTGTAGGTAAAACGTGCCTACTGATCAGTTACACAACCAATGCGTTTCCTGGAGAATATATCCCCACTGTGTAAGTATCTGGAGTTAAATAAGGAATTTACTTGTGATGTGTTTTTTTAGTTCTTTTGACCTTTGTTTTGCTGTGAAGGCATTCTTAATTCTTACATGAACAGATCTGATTAGTTTTCCACTTAAACGTGAACATTGACCAAAGTCTGATTAATAAGAGAATCGGGCTTTTAAAAAATACTTAATCTGATGTAAAGTTTCTGCATTGTGATGAAACACACAGCTTTCCTAATTGGTTTTTAGACATTCAGGAAACAAAGTTAACAAACCGAAGTGTGAAGACTGGATACAGTAAGAGTTTCATATAAATTTGGCACTCGAGCATCTGTGTGTGAAGGATCAAGGAGCCAGAACATGAAATAGTCTGTTCTATTGTGATTGGCCTTTTTTGGCAAGTGATCCCAGTGGTTCCATGTCACTGTTGAGTTATCAGGCTGTGGAACTGAAACAGGGTGGTGCTGGGGGCAGTTACGGGAGGACGGAATTGGCCACTGAGCTGTTTATTCCCTCTCCGCAGCAGAATTGGGTGGAGATGGAAGTGTTTTTCCGATGATAGGATTACTAGGGAGCCCCGTGTAGCACGTCACCCTGCTCTGTCCTCACAGCTGCCATCCTAGTAGAGGAAACACCTCAAGTCCCACCCATGCTGACCTTGTCGAGCATAACATGTGCGCTGCAGTGTTGCCCAAAGTTTTGCAGAAGTGGGATCATACTGTCCGTGTTGTTCTGGTTTTATGGTGGGGACTTTCCTAATCTACACATGTAGGTAGAACTAAATCATGATCACTGTAGGTGACTTTGAACTACTGTAGCTGATACAGTACACTGGTCATGGGGTTTGTTTGGGTTTTTTTTGCCGTGTTGAACATCATTGCACACGTCTTTGTGCACATGTGATAGATGATGACAAGTGGAGGTGTGCCAAATCCAGAGGGAATGGATATTTCGATTTCTGATAGGTTAACTACCCATGTGCTGCCCAAAGGCTGTACTTGGACCAGCTGTGACTGAAGCCGGCTCCTCTGGTTGGACTGTGGGTGACAGGAGTTGAAAAAGTTACTTTCTCATTTGCATTTCTGATCCCCGGTGGGGTTGAAATCCCTCAAATGTTCACTGTCCATTTGTAGTCTTGTGTGGATGGACTGTTGAAATCCTTTGCTTATTTTTTTATTGAGATTTTTTTCTTACTGATGGAACTTCTGTGTACAAGAAATATCAATTCCTCTGTCTCTCCTTTGCCCTCTGTCTCTTTGAACTTCATTATGAGGTCTTCTGCCAAAAAGAAGTTTGACTTTTTTTTGTTTAAAAATTTTTTTTTAGTATTTATTTTCTAGAACAAGCATGAGCAGGGGAGGGGCAGAGAGAGCGGGAGGGACAGAGGATCCGAAGCAGGCTCCGCACTGGTAGCACAGAGCCCGATGCAGGACTTGAACCCGTGAACCGTGAGATCATGACCTGAACCAAAGTCAGACGGTCAACAGACTAAGCCCCCCAGGCGCCCTAAGAAGTTTGAGGTGTTTATGTAAATATGCCACTCTACCTGCATGGAGTTTTATGTCCTGCTTAGGAAGACCATTCCTACTTCAGTGATGCAAAAGTATGTTTTCTAGACTTTTGTGGCTAACACTTTAATCTTTGATTCATTTAGAATTTATTTTTTGGTACAATAGGAGGCGGGCACGTGATTCTTTTTCCCAGATAAAAAAGTCATGATCTTGTTCATTTGAATAATCTGTCCTTTTCTCACAGAAGCAGAAATTACGATACCCCAGACCTTGTCTTCATGGGAGCTAGTGTGGTCGTTAATGTTCGTTAAGCCACATCGGAGCCTTACTCAGACTTCGGCTTTGCTGTCGCAGTTTAGGAAGTCCCTGAGTTTCAGTGTCGAGAGTGTGTGAAGGTGGCTTCCAAAATTGTATCTTACAGGCTGCTGTATTGGGTCCTGTTTGGTACTTGCCCTGGTTTGAATGGCAATGCCAGGTTTTCTTTTTAATGAAGTACTTGGTGGTACTTGTGGTTTGCTTTGGTTTTGTGGAAGTCCACCTTACTTTCTGTCTGTCAGCCAGGCTTTCCTGGGCCTCTGCTTATCGTTAAGTAATCACTGGGGTGACTTGGTATGCATGTAACCCAGTACACTCACTCTGAAACGGTCCACCACAGCCTCTCACATCAGGTTCATTTTGTGTTCTCTTCGCGCTTGGGTCGCAGGCCTGGCTGGATGACCACGACTCGACTAATTGTCGCCCTGACTCAGTGCGGTGGCTCTGTGCCGCGCCACCTTGCTGAAGATGAGCCACATGTGGATGTGAAAAATCTCAGCAAGTGGGATTTGAAAGAGAGGGACTGATTTTATACTCTGTTTCTCTGGGGCAGAAGAATCTTAATGTCCTGTTGAAGAGGCAGAGGTTCCTGTTGCTGCCACTGCTTTGTTTCGGGTACATTGAGGAGCTTGTCCTTTGTTTCTTGGGCGAGTTTCTCCAGGTGTTGGTTTGTTTCCCTTACACTCCTCCCAGTTTCCCTCCAACATTAGCTCTGCCCCCTGGCCCGGCAACCCCCAGACTGCACCTGGCCTTGGTGCATCTCCTCTGGGGCCCTCGCTGGGACAGTCACTCGAGTCCCTGATCTGTGCCCAATGCTCCATGGCTAAAGACTAACCATTTTTACTCCATTCTGCAGCTTTGACAACTACTCTGCCAATGTTATGGTGGATGGAAAACCGGTGAATCTGGGCTTATGGGATACAGCTGGACAAGAAGATTATGACAGATTACGTCCCTTATCCTATCCGCAAACAGTAAGGATCGTGACTGATTTTTAATGTGTCCTTTAGAATATATGATTTCCGAATATGAAATTGCACATGACCTGTGGGTTTGCTTGCACAGTTGGCCCGTGAACAACACATTTGAACTCCACATGTCCGCTTAGACTAGGCCTGTCGGTACATTTCAGTGAGTATGTTTCTTCCTCCAGATCTGAGGGAAATTTTTTCTCTGGCTTACTTTAGTGTAAGAACGCAGTACCTAATGCACTTAACATATGACTGTTGATGTTACTGGTAAGGCTTCCAGTCAGTAGCAGGCCATTAAATTTTGGGAACTTTTGATTGCATGGGGGGGGTCAGCACCCCTTACGCTTCCCCCCCACCACCCCCCATGTTGTTCAGGGGTCTGCTGTATCGCCATCTTTGGGGCATCCTGAGTAGTAGCAAGCTCATGTTAGTTCAGTAGCATGTGTCCCCTACGTGCGAACCCAGAGTTGGCTTGTTCTCATTTCTCTGGTCTTAACCTGGTATAGAATATGGTGCTGTGCAGTTTACATGCTTCCATTGTTGCAATTTGTTTATATATGTATTTATTAGAATTTTTTTTAATGTTTATTTTTTGAGAGCTAGAGTGTGAGCAGGGGAGGGGCAGAGAGAGAGGGAGACACAGAATCCAAAGCAGGCTCCAGGCTCTGAGCTGTCAGCAACAGAGCCTGATGCGGGGCTTGAACTCATGAACCATGAGATCATGACCTGAGCCAAAGTCAGACTCCTAACCAACTGAGCCACCCAGGCGCCCCCCCCCCACCCTTTAAATATTTATTTATTTTGAGAGTGAGAGTGTGTACAGGGGAGGGGCAGAGAGAATTCCCAGCAGGGTCTGCTCCCTCAGCGCAGAGCCCAGTGAGGGGCTCGACCTCCTGAACTGGGAGATCATGACCTGAGCCAAAATCAAGAGTCGGATGCTTAACTGACTGAACCACCCAGGTGCCCTGTTAGGATTAAGGTTTTTGAAAATCAAGTTAGTGACTTGTCTTTTGGGTTTAATATTATTTTTCTTTCTTTTTATTTTTTTAATTTTAATTGGGCTTCATGCTCACGAATCTGAGATCAAGAGCCATACGTTCCACCGACTGAGCCAGCCAGATGCTCTTTAATAATATTTTTCTATGTTACTCATGCTCCTTTTTCTATGGCTTTATTATTATCATTATTTTAATGTTTATTTTTGCGAGCACGGGTGGGGGGCGGCAGATGCAAGGGCAGAGAGAGAAGGGAGACCAAGGATTTGAAGCAGGTTCTGTGCTGACAGAGACACATGCAGGGCTCGAACTCATGAACCATGAGATCACAATCTGAGCCGAAGTCAGACGCTTAACCGTCTGAGCCACCCTTTGGCTTTAGCACTTACATCTTCTCAGTGTAGAATCAGGTTTCGGTTTTGTAAAATTATATCCACAGTGTCCAGTCAGAAAAACTTCTAGATTGTTTTGCTTCCATTTCAGACGATTAAATGATCCGTGTACCAAAAGCTAATGAGAGTTGGTGGAAATATGCTTAGAGGCCTCTTTTCTTTAAATTAGGAATTGTCTTATTTGCATCGTGTGCTTCTCTCATTACACATTTGTTCTTCGTCTTAAAAGTATTTGAAAATAACTCTGGAGACTCAAGTGGCTAACCAGCCAAAGGAATACGCACTAGCACAGACTCCTTAGGTTTCCACCCTGCGCCCTTGCTTCCCAGCTCTGTGACCCTGGCAGATTTCCTCAGGGCTCTAGTTGTCACCTGTCTCGACATAGGATTAGACGAGCAGTATGTATAAAGCTAACAGAAGGGTCCAGGTACGTCACAGACACTCCAGTGTTGCTGCGGTGAAGACGCACATCTGGAGAGCTCTTCACGTCCCAGCTGGCTGGGCCCAAATGACTAGAAGTTGCTGTGCGTGCTCTCAGCAACTCCGGATGACCAGAGGGGTCAGGGTCAAGGAGACCCCCTGGAGAAGGCAGGTGTCAACCCTTGGATGGACCTGACCGGCACCGTCTTGGGGGCGTAGTGTGGGTGAACATAACCATAGTTCTAGTCTTCCCAAATCTTTTGTTTTTAAATTTAACTTCCCGTTTTTAGTAATGATAGTTTTTTATACTTTTGAGTACAGTTTTAGAATGCAACAGTCATTGTCTCCTGTATTTATTTTCTCCTGGAGGAATTGCCAAATCCAGTTGCTTTGAGCTGTAGATTTTTGCTGATTGTCCTTCAATTGAATTGTAACCAGAACTATAAAATGGGAGGTTTGAATGAGTGAGTGCTCAGTTAATCTCCAGCTAAAAATTAACTGATTAAGGTTTGAAAATCAGTTCATAATCACCAAATGGTTTGAGTTCTTCAACATGTTTAGGAAACTCTTCTGTCCCCAATGGGTGCTTGATAATTCCAGATTTTAAATGGATTTGCTAACCTGTTGACAGACAGAGTAGGAGTCTTTAACCCACTGGATCCATCTGGAAGGGTGGGGTGTCACTTCTGAGAAGTGAGAGCCACCTCCTGTGACTCATGGGTCCGGGCAGGGTGTGGCCTTTCTCTCTGAGGGAGTGGCTCACAGTAAGTCAAAGGTGACTTGGCAAGGTCCCTGCTCTGTATGCCAGAACACACGCAGGTAAAGTGACAGATTGAATCAAGCCGCAGGGTGTTGTCCTTCTGGGGCAGGACTTAAACTTTCTGTGTCCCTTCTGTGTAAGGTGCTCTTTTCCTGCCAGACACTTGAACGGCTAAGGGGGTGAGGCACGACTCTAGCCCTCAGATGGCTCACACGTGCTGTGTGACACATCACGCGCCAGCAGACGGGTGTCCTGGGCACTTTGAGCAGAGAGGAGAGCGGCTGTGTAGCAGTTAAAGATGCGCCCGCTGGCCTCCTGCGGATGAGGACGTTTCATTGGCTCCCGGGGGGGCGGCCCCAAATGCGGAGATTGGTGCCTGGAAGGTCTCCTTCCTTTGGGCCACACTGTCCCTGCAGGGGGAGCAGGCCCGGTGGCTGCCGGCTGGCACCTTGGCAGCGGGGGTGCCTCTGAACTTTGTACTGACTGGAACGTGGTCTCTGGTTGTTGGCTCTACAAGGCCTGTTTATGTGGCTTGTCCGTGACTGTGCTCAGACCTCCCCTGAAGGGCCGGTAGACGATTTTGTATCCACATGTCACCCTTAGGGCTTGGCGACCCCCCAAAATAGATGTCATGTTTCCTGTGGGCATTTAATGCTGCTGTCCTCTGTTGGGCAGCTTGGGTGGCGAAGTTAGGTCTGTTTAAGGCATTCGTTTCTGCGTTCTCCAGAAGATGGCGAGCAGGTAGTCCTGTTCAGTAGAGATTGCCCTCGAAAGTTTTATTTTTCTAAAGTAATCTAAGCGGCCGACTTCAGCCAGGTCACGATCTCGCGGTCCGTGAGTTCGAGCCCCGCGTCAGGCTCTGGGCTGATGGCTCGGAGCCTGGAGCCTGTTTCCGATTCTGTGTCTCCCTCTCTCGCTGCCCCTCCCCCGTTCATGCTCTGTCTCTCTCTGTCCCAAAGATAAATAAATAAACGTTGAAAAAAAAATTAAAAAAAAAAATAAATAAATTAAGTAATCTTTAGGGCTTTCCTATCCTTTAATAAGTTATCTTTATATTCTCTTTTTAAAAATGTGCCGTAATAGGGGCTCATGATGGTTTGGTGGGATAAATGTTGGGCTCTTGATCTCATGGTTGGGAGTTTGAGTCCTGCATTTGAAGTAGGCCCGACGAGGAGCCTGCTCTCCTGCACATTCTTTGTGTGTGTCTTGAGTTGATTTGTCACCATGGCAGCGTGACCCGTGTAGTGCTCGGGCCCAGCATCGTGCGTCGTGTCGAGTCAGCTGCATTTGCCTTTTTGACCAGGACGTGGTATGAGTGAGTGGGAACCTGTGTGCCTCGTCGGGGTCACGAGGCCTGAGCTCCGTGCGGGTCCGGAGAGGCCTGTGCTGCCCAAGGCGCCGGGCCTCTTGTGTCCGGGCCTGTGGGGGCCTACGGGGACCTGGGGTGTGTGTGCGCTCAGCTCGGGAGTGCCGGGTGGTGGCGCGGAGGCAAGGAGAATGGCTGTGTTTGGCTTGGCCGTTCGGATTTTCACCTGGCTTTTTCTGCTTTGTTCGGGTGGCCGCCTCTACCTGTGTCCTCCGGCCACAGGTCACTAGGAACACACCTGTGGCTTGAACAAAGTCGGGTTTGTTCCTGTGCCCCAAAGGAGACCTGCACCTCGGGGACTGCGGGGTGTGTGATTTGGGTGAGGGCTTGCTCTGGATTGGGTGCTGGCAGGAAGTAGGGTAGTTCTGGGGCCAAATCTGTGACTGGTGCAGACACCGTCACACAGTCTCGTTGGCTGCAAGAGGGGGGCGTTTGGGGTTTCTATAGTTTGCACGGTGACCTTGTGTTTGTGGCTAGACAAGATTAAGTGGTCTTCTATTCGTTTCTTTGCTTCTGGTCTCGTGTCAGCATGGTTGCGTGGTCTGACGTGGGCGCTCTGGGAGATTGTCACATTCAGTGGGAACCCGCCGTAGCCTGGCTCCTGGGGTTCGGGGCTGTCCTGCTCTTTCTCCTGAGCAGCTCCCCGTGGGTGCCACACACACAGCATCTTTGCTCTGTCCTGTTTGCGCCCTGGTCCTTTGCCCGGTTCCTAGAGTGTCTGTAGGAAGAACTATTCCAGGCCTGAAAGTAAAAGCCGGGCGGAAGGCCTTAAGAAGAGAAGGAAATGAGAGGGAGAGAGAGAGCGCGCACGTGCACGAGCAGCGCTAGGGTGTTTGGAGTTGGGAGATCCCAGCCACCCCCGAGTCCCCTCCCGTTCCGCCAGGAACCTCTCCGTGGTGCCCTCCGCATGCCTGGTGGAGGCGCATGCCTGGTGGAGGCGGTGGACCTGGCCAGTGAGGGAGCGGTGTTTGTGACCCGGAGCAGTCACTGAAGGCCTGGCGGGAGCCTGTGTGGTCGGGAGTCGGCTGCCGGTGTGAGGAGAGCAGTGTCCGGGCCAGAGGGAAGGGGAGCCCGTGGCCTGGGGAGGCCCGGGCAGAATAAAGAGGCTCCAGGACACACTGGGAGGAAGGCTGGGCCAGTCCTGCTGCAGGCAGCCCTGCCATGGAGCTCCGGCCTCCGGGGACCCCCGTGGACATCGAGACACCTGCCAAGGTCGAGCAGCAGGAGTCTGTGCGGGGTGTCTGGTTGGGAGGCCAAGGCTGCAATGAATCCCTCCTGGAAGAGCGAAGTGTCAGAAGGACTAGACGTTTTATGATTTCCATGTCATTGTTTTAGAAGAATTACCACATTATTCTTTACACCTTTTTAAAGCCTTATTTAGGCTGGGGGAAGGAGGAGAAGGGAACGGGCAGATGGTGGAATGTTAACATAGGATGGAAAAGCATGTTTCTTGATCAAAAAATACGTTTTAAAAATTGAAAAAGGTAGAACAGATGTGGTTGGAGGATATTTTGGAGCTGCGTTTTTGTGGCCAATCCCCAGGGGTCCCTGTGTCACCATAAAGAGTCGGGAGCACAAATCTTTTTAAAAGTAGCCCATAGGTGAAAGTGGCAACTTTAATATTCTCAGAGTCGTGGGTCAGAGAAGCTGGAGAGAGAGGAAATTAAAATAATTCTCTTGTTCATCTGTTAAAAGACGTGTGGGGTTCTGTGTTGCTTGAAGAGCAAGTCTTTCTTTCGATTTTTGTTGCAACAGGGGCGAATTGAAAGCCCTGTGGTGGCCGCTGGAGGTGCCGTCCCCTCTGGGTGGCCGTCCCGTCCAGAGCTGCAGGGGCTT